CGCAGGTTTTGCAAGCGACGACTTCCGCTTTCTGGGGCAGAGTTGCGAACGCGAGCGGCATCAGCATCTTTGAGTTAAGGCTCAAGAACGCCGCTGATTCCGCCGACGTCATGGGCGGCCACCCGTGCACATGCAAGGGCGGCGGGTTGTTCGATGCAGATGACGGCGCGCACGACGCTATCCTGCGCGCGCGACAAGATGCGCGCCCTTGCAATGTTCCTTGCCCTGCAATGGGGAACCAGGAGTCAGAGCGGGCGCGCTTCAGTAATGATCGCAGATCACATGGAATTCTGGTGGACCAGGAACTAGCGCAAGTGTCAGAGGACGCCGCCCGCTGTTCTCGCAGTGGCATCGGCGCCGGGTTCACCGACGCATGCGTCGCTACATCACTGCGTGACATCGGGTTCGCAGTTGTACCTCCGCGGGACGGGCCGCTGTGGATCATTCAGGACAGGAGTTCTAACGCCGTCGTGTCAGTGTGCCTGCAGCGGCGCCCAGGGCGCCGCTGCTCGCATGATGGCGCGCCTGCGTTGGACCACCAGGACGGGAATGCCATGCTGAGGCCGCTCGGCTACCATTTGCAGCGCCTTCCGCCGCCGCGCGTCCGTGGAGGTGGCCGCTTCGTGGTTGACGATGGCAACGATCACGCCTACGGACTGCGCATCGGCGAATACACCATTCTCAGCTTCCGTAGCGGCTGCGCAGAAGTGCTTTCCACATCCGAAGCGGAGGAGATCATCGCGGGCGCGGCCGCTGGCCTGCTGAACCTATTCATTGTATCAGAAATTGGCTCGTCTCCGTCGTCAACGATGATTCCTGGCGGGGCGGATGATCTTATTGATGGCTGGGAAGTCGACTCATTGTGTGGCATGAAATGCACATTTTCTGTCGAAGCGCAAAAAAATGGCCTCCCGACCTGCGCGCGCTGATCAAGAGCGAGCACATTTGGTGGCAGCGGGCTGCGGCCACAATGACGGACGAGGCGTTCGGCTGCTCGGGTGCATGGAGATGTCCTTTATGTCCTGTGAGAGCTTTCCCTCGGCAAGAGCGGTTTCGTGAACATCTGGCGAACTTTCACCCCGTTCGGGGCTGTGCCATTCAATCTCAGAAGCTCGCCAGGCTCGTTTGGCACCGCTGGCAATCCGACTGCGCCCGCAGTGTGTTGCTGCGTCCTTTCCATGTTCAGCATGCCCCAGAAAGCGGTCGGCGCATCTACGACGCCGTCCAGGACATGCGCTCGCAGCTGCAAACGTCGCCGTCCTGGCCGCGATGTTCGCCTGGCACGCAGGGCGTGAATGGCAATGCATGGTTCGACAGGGCAATCACAACGCTGCTTGACGTGGGCGACACGCGTTACATCCTCAGCGAAGACGGGCATGCTTACCACTGGTTGTCAGCCCAGTACTGCTGCATCAACAAATTCCTCGCGTGCTACCTGGCTGCGTTGATCCATCCGGCAACGAAGGGCGCCGTTTCTCGGGTGGTTTCTTATCTTCAAGACAAGTGCGGGCCCCGCTCATTCCTCCTGACGAAAAAGGCAGAGATTCATCACACGATTGCAGAGAAATTGCTGGAGAATAACACCATCCAGCGCGCTGTGTCATACTGCAGGGGCGCATTTGATAAAAGAGTGATTGCAGTTGGCGGCTAGCACAAGTCCCTGCTGCCAGTCTTATACCAGACGCCTTTCGGAAGCAAGCCAGTCGGCAACCAGGGGCGCCAGGGCGACCGCGCCCAAGTCATCCTCAGCGCGAGGTGCGGGGAGGCAGTGCTGCACGTGGAGCCGAAACCTTCTGAAGGCTTCCCTCATGCACTTTCTGTGCTCAAGAAGGCGGCACAGGGTGAGGTGGGCAGCGTCCTCACAATCCATTGCGATCGTCCCGATTCTCTGGATTGCTCCGCCATGTTTGCGCATTTTCCGAAGCTCCAGTGTATTTGCAGAGATCCACTTCACGTCGCCTTGAAGGTAGAGCAGGCGTTTGGGGGGAAAATCTCGCCGCGTTCGGCTGCAATCCGCAGATGCTTGGCGAAGTTCCGCAAGGGCTCTCCGTTACTACAAGAAGCGAAGAGGAAACGGCGAGTCGGAGCTGGAAAGCACGATTTCGTCAATGACCCCTGCGCGCGCCAAGCGTCTTCTTGAACAGATTGCGAGGCCTGCGTATCAGGCGAGGTCGTACGCGAGCATGGACTATTTTGTTCGCGACATTGCTGCCACCTGTTTCACGCATCCTGCAGCAATGCGCCGCCGCACAGAAAAGGGAACCACTGTACTTGCGTCTCTGAAGGGCGCGACTTCTAAGCAGAGCCTCGGGTATCTAATGAATGCATCTTTGTTTGTGCATAGAAACCCAGATGCTCCACACATGTACGGTACTACCTCGCTGGAGGCGTTCATGCTTCAGCTGAAATCATGTTTCAGAAATGTGTTTCACCAGACGCGGCGCAATGCCCTGATCGTTTGCAGAATTGCCACGGTGGGCAAAATATTTGGCGCCTACGCGCGCACTGCATTTCCTGGCATGAACATGCGGGAGCATGAGGCCTTGTTTTCTTTCTGCCAGAACCTACTTGCCTGCGGCGTAGATGTCAAACCAAAGCTTCGCATCAAGATGAAAGCTCACCCACGCGTCGTCGAAGATGAGTTGCCGCCGAGCGCAAAGCGCTTGCGTAAGCATTGAGCATGTGTTTCACTTGAAGATCCTCCATTTCTGTTGAAACGTTCGCATGTGCAAAAAAGTCGGCCCGTGTCACGTTCGCCATCATCGCGCGATCGTCGTCGCAGTCGCCATGTTGATGGATTCGACGCACGGATTGTTTGCCACCAGATCGCACACTTCTTGGGATGCTTGAGTCGCGACAGCGATGAGATGAGAAGACACTCTGTGATACTATGAAAACACGCATGTACATACGCGCACGACTTTATCAACTGATGCCAATGATGATGATGAGGATGATGATGCTGGTGATGGCGATGCAGCGCAGCAAAACGAGGTGGCACGCACACACGGTTTTGCCCCCCCCCCCCCCCCCCCCCCCATCATCTCGCACTCCCCCATGCCCTCCGCCATCCCCAAGTCCACCTCCTTAGGGTCGCACAGGGGCCCCCTCCTCAACATGTCCTACGCGATCGTGCCCGTCGCCTAGCTCCCCCCCCCTCCCAGTGGCGCTGCCACAGGCTTCTGATATTCAACGTGGTGAAATCCTTTCGGAATTCATCCTCGAAAACTTGTGGGGGGGCCCTGCTAGCCCACGTAGTAGCGCGTCTCCCCTCTCCGCGCGCCCCATTGTCAGCATGTCATTGCATGCCTACAATGCTCAGGGGCCCCCTGTGATATTCATTGTTCTCATCGCGCACCGGCCGCCCTTTTTCCACCGCGCTGCTCTGCGCAGCTGGGAGGCGCCCAAACATGGCGGCCAGCCGCTGCGCATTGTCACCTCGGTGGGCTGCTAGAAATTTCAACCAACTCAGGCGCCGAATTCTGAGCCCAGTCGAGACGGTACAAGTCCCAGGAGTCGCCATACGGGGGGAGAGCTCTGTGTTTGACTGCCCCGTCAGCTCGTCGCATTTGGATGACTGCGCGACCGCCCAAGATCCGCCCCCCCCCCAAAAAAAAAAAAGATGTTAGGATCCAAAGGAAGATAACCACTGGCCGCAAGAATAAATGCTGGGAGACCACGGAGCCCTGCTACCTGAATCCGACATTGGAAGAAAAGCTTTTTGAGGTGAGCAGGAACACTGCGAGCAAGGCAAAATCTGCCCATCCTGTGCCAGGCGCGGCGCGTATTCTTCAAACGACTTGCGCGCTGATGTGCGATCTGGCTGGAATGCGAGTGCTGCGCTCCAAAATACATGGCCGCAGGTGCAACTATGCCTGCGAGATTCGCCATCGTCGAGAGCTCTCGGGTCCGCCAAACAGCTGCGCGGCCCGCAAACCTGGGCGCGATCTGCGGCTTGGCAGGGTTCAGCGAGCTACCCACAGCCCACAACTGCTCGGCCAGCTGTTCACCTGCCTCCCCCACCCGGGGCGCAAAGTAAGCCGCTCGATTCACCGGTGACCTAGCGGGCCGCACCATCCATGAATGCCGCGGCGGGCAGGTCGACAGCCTCCTCGCGGCGCGGGCTGACGCAGAACAACTAGGCGCCTTCTGGTGTCGCTGCACGTCGTTGCAACCAAGGTTCGAGCACCCGCTGTTGAAACTCTCGATTGCACTTGCTCGGTGCGCCCTGGTGACCCTGCAGCGCTCCCCCCAGCGCGAGAACCCCCAACGCCGTCAGCCGCATGAAGGGTAACATCGCTGGATCTGGCGCTGAGCCCACCGTGCCGCACATCGTCTTCGCAGCAGTACTGGTAGTCAATATCGCCCGTTGCCTCCTGGGAAAGGCTGCCAAACACATTCGTCTGATCCAAGAATATTGTTGCTTGTGAGATCCCCAGCTGCGCGGGCCTCCATCCTGCGCTGCGTTGGATTCGGATTTGCGCCTCTCTTCGGCGGCGCGCAATCCCCCCATGCATGCTGTGCAATTACTGTCTCGGGAAACGCGACCACTCCGCGTCGTTCAACATGCCTCAGCCTTGCCCTACTGAACGGGCGCAGTCTGTGCATGACAAGCTCTGCCTCGAGGCCCGTCTGCGCACTTGGCTTCGGAACGCGCGCCCCCTATGACCTGCGCAAAGCGAGTGGCGCGCGAACGGGCCATCTCGCTAAACGGCACGTCTAGAATATGTCTCTCAAACTCGCGCCGCGTGCCCTCGTGCTCGGGGCCGCGCCCTGCGGGGTTGGGAAGCGCGCGGAAGACTTCAGCCGGTAGCGACCATGGCAGCGCACTTTTTCGGCGCGCTTGTCTTCGAGTCGCCGCGCGGACTCCGCGAAGGTCACGCTCTGCCTCGTATTTGTAGGCGGGGCCCAGCAAGCGCTGGCCGTCGCGCTCCTGCTTGCGACCCTCGAAAAGCCGCTGGATGTCGTCGACCTGGCAAGCGGACAGTCCTCCTCGCCAATCAGGCCGCGCCAAATGATGGGCCCACATCTCTACCGACGGGCTGGGCGCTGCTGGTACACTGGTACACAGCAGAGGCGCCTGCCTGGCCCAACCGATGTCGCCGCCAATCTTCGAGCCAATCTACGCACCAAACTGTGGCCATTGCGCTCCCACGCCCCCTGTATCTGTCGTTCCACACCGTCAATATGCGCAGCCCCGGTGATTCTGCATCTGCGTTGCTGAAGTTGCCGAAGTGAAGCCTGCACCTCCTCGCAATCACTGAGTGGTAGCTGACCAAGCTGAAATCCGAGCTGCGCGCGACGTCGCAATGGACCTCGTTGCTCCTCTCTGGCTGCTCGAAACTGTCGATCCGCCTCATTGTACTTGTGGAGATGCAGTACTTCTAATGTCATCCACAGAGTGTTGCCAAGTATCAGATGGCATGGCGCGGTCTTCACGCTGGCAAGACTGCGGAAACGCGCGGTGGCAGTGCTCCACCACATGTCGCAAAAAATGTGCGCGCCGTTGTCCGTCCACCACAACTTTGACCAAATCCACTGTATTCCAATGCGCCGTGTCAGCGCGGCTCACTCGAGAGAAGCCCAGCATGTGTCGTGTTCGTACCTGCAGAGGGCAATGGCTCCAGTTCCTACTTACTGGTGTCATCTGCAATCTCCGCCCCCTTGTCTCCTGCGCCTGCGAGCCCACCAATGTTGGCAGCCGTGCGTCGGGCACTCCTAAATAGTCAAATTGGGAGCTCGAGACACGCCCGTGATATGTGCCATGTCATCCCACATGTGTGTTCGCCAAGCGGAGACCATATTTCTCCATGCACTCGCGCAGCTGCGCAATACCTACGCGATCCTGTTGGGGCCTCATCGGGTCCACAATATCGTGCATATCAGGATAGACCGGGGGAAATGGCATGCCTGCTTAGTCCTTGAAATCGCCGCCAAACACAATCGAGCATCTGTTGGGTTGCTGTCTGCAAATTGCATCCATCCAAGAAATTATCGTATGACCGTACGTCGATACGAAATTATTTGTTGGCCACATGCGGCCGAACTGGACACTAACCTACTATCGCCAGCATATGAAATCGCCCAGACCTCACCTCCACAACACCCAATCGGCCCTGCAACTCCTCTGGTGGTGAGTGGATCTGTCGGAAGTGACACAGCCTGAAGAAGCGCTTCCGCAACCGAATCTGCACACCAATGTGGGCCGATGACACCGGTCCTCTCCCGTAGTCCCAGTTCAGGATGTGGGCGCGCGGGTCCGCGATGGCGGTGCGCACGTTGTCGGTGGGCCCGCGGCAGAGTCTGGTTCCTGTGAGCAGAGCAACGCCCTTGTGCTGAAAACGCTGCACTAATCTCCGTTGCCTGCCCACTCTGCACAAACGATGTGACACGATGGTCAACAAATGAGCGCGGAGAAGAAAACATGGGCGCCGCTCGAGCGCAGCGGCGGGTGGTACCTTAGACAGAGGGAGCTGGGGGCGCTGCGTATGGAGGAACACACATCCCCGAAACCGCACAGGATGTGTGAAGGACCTGGGCCAGGACGGCGGCTAAAACGAGGAGGAGGATCCAGTTGTTTGGGTATCCGCCGGCCCCCTTGCGGGGCCACCAGGCTGCGAGGGTGAGGGTTGCAGCTATGTTCCAGTTGCAGCTTCCAGCTTCCACTGTTACAGTCTTGCTTTCTACTTCATTACTGTCAATTGTTGCTGAACGCGGGAGGGGGGAGCCCAAAACCAGTTTTTTAACCACGCCCAAATGTTTGAATTCCTGGGGGGGCGTGGGACACGTAAAAATACATGACACTCGCGTCCCGGATGCCATAATCCCTATGGGTTACGCCATATTCGCGTCACCGATGCCATCACGAATACTAAATTACACCAGATTCGCGTCCCCGACGGCATAATCCTTCGTAAATTACACCATGCGCCCCCGAAGCCATAAACCCTTGCAGTGTACTCGATACGCTCGCGCCCCCGAAACCATAAACCCACGTACCTATACGACCACCCTACGGGTGATAAGGAGGTTGGGGGGGGTGGAGGGGCCGAGCAATGGGCAACAGTGGTGATTGTTCTCCTGACGATGCTAGTGGATTTTTTTGTCGGAGGCCTGCTGAAGCCCCTCTTGTCGCCACTGACTAAATCGCTTCAAAACATTGCTCAACGGCTGCCCTTCGGCGGTCGAGACCGATGTACCGCCATCATAGTTCTTTTCCCCTAGCTCAAACAGCGCAAACGGCTGGAAGCCCAGCGAAAGCGTGCCTCATGCAGTCAGAGAATACCGTGGATCGGCCCCGGAAGCGGCACAACACTGTGCGTGCTGGAGGAGAACCTGAAACAAGACCTCATTCGCTGTCTCATTTGGTCTCACTACCGATCTCACAATCGATATCACTATCGACGTCATCATCATCATCATCATCATCATCATCATCATCATCATCATCATCAACATCAACATCATCATCATCGCCATCATCAACATCATCTCATCATCATCATTACCATCATCATAATCATCATCATAATCATCATCAACATCATCATCGGGACACCGACGGGACACCGACGGGACACCGGCGGGACACCGGCGGGACACCGCGCGCCACCGGCCGCCCGGCGGAGAATCATTTGGTCCGGCCGCGCCTCAGCCACAGGAGACTTTCCTCTCGCCCGCCCACGCAGCTTCGCCTCGCCCGCACGGCACGCACGAACACGAAACCGAAATCGATTTCCCGGTAGGGGGGCTCTCCGTTCCACCTTCGATCTCACCCCCCAACCTCCGACATTGGGGAATACTCGCGCCCCCGAAGCCATGAACTTTCGAAGATTATACCAGGTTCGCGTCCCCACGGCCATAAATCTTCGTAAAAGGACCCTACCTGCGTTACCGAGGCCACAGACTCTTGCAAGTTATACAATATTCGCGTCCCCGAGGCCATAAGCTCTCGCAAATTAAACAATACTTGCGCCCCCGAAGCCATAAACCTTCGCAAATTAAGTAAACGCGCCCCCGAAACCGTAAACCATCGCGAATTGCATAATGTTCGCGCCACCGAAGCCATAAACCCTCGTAGATTAATATTGGCCCTCGCGTGAAGTCCCGACAATGCTTCACGTCAGCGCCCAGACATCCCAACACAACTCTAGCAAGTCCCATTCTAAGAGAGGGGGGCCAGCGGCATAGGGGGCGAAGCCCTTACAGATATCTGGGAATCCGCAAGCCTTTGCGGGCCTCCAACTACTCCTGGGGACCTCGAAAGGGCCTCCCGAGGCCTCTGTGACATCGAAGAGTTTTGGGCGCAGTCGCCCAGTTCCTTGTTTTCTCATCCTGCTTATCCTGCTCCTCAGCCTCCTCCTGCTCCGTTTCCTCCTCCTCCACCTCCACCTCGCCAGCGCATTTCTCATTGCGTTTCCCTTCGGAGGGTCCACCTCGTTGCCACGGCTGGACACAAATCGGAAAACTGCCATGAATGTGTGTGTGGACCTTCTGCTTCTCCTCTTCCGCCTTCTCCTATATTCGTTCTTATCATCATCATCATCATCATCATCATCATCATCATCATCATCATCATCATCATCACCATTACCATCACCATCACCATCACCATCACCATCACCATCACCATCACCAGCAGCAACAACAGCAGCATCATCATCAGCATCATCACCACCATCAAAATAATCATCAGCATCATCATCAGCATCAGCATCAGTATCATCATCAGTATCATCATCATGTTTATCAACAGCCTCAGCATCATCATCATCATCATCATCATCATCATCATCATCATCATCACCAGCAGCAGCGTCGTCGTCGTCGTTATCATCATCATCAGCGTCAGCATCAGCAGCAGCATCATCAACAGCATCAGCATCATAATCATCATCAGCATCATCATCAACATCATCAATATCAGCATCAAAACATCATCATCATCATCATCATCACCACCACCTCGATGATAAGCAACAGCATCATTATCATCATCATCCTCATCATCAGCATCGCCAGTGTCATCATCATGATTATCATCATCATCGTCGTCGTCATCATCATCAGCATTATCATCACCATCAGCATATCATCACCACAGCGTCATCATCATCATGATCATCACCACCTTCAGCATCAGCATCATCATCATAATCACCAGCATCATCACCATCACCAGCAGCAGCATCATCATCGTCATCATCATCGTCACTATCGTCATCGTCGTCGTCATCGTCGGCAGCAGCAACACCTGCATGATCGTCATCGTCATCTTCCTCTCTCGCCGCCGCATCCTCCTGATTCTCCTCCTCTTCCTCCTTCTCCTTCTCCTCCTCCTACCTCGCCGCGGCGCGCGGGGAGACCATTCGTGGTGACCCCGCGCAGGTGTTCGCGCATCATCATCCCCCTCAAGCCACCATCACCCGCAGCATCATGATCGCGACCACCATACTAAAGGTACTGTTCAAGTTCGTCATATTCGTGCTAATCGTCCTACTCAAATCCTATTCATAATTGTTATCTAACTCTCACTGGTACCCCAACTCATCATCGTCATCATCACCACCATCATCATCATCATCATCGTCAACACCATCTTTACCATCATCATGTTCACCATCATCATCATCACCATCATGCTCATCATGCTCATCATGCTCATCAGTATCATCATCATCATCATCATCATCATCATCATCATCATCACATCACCACCATCATCATCATCTCATCATCATCATCATCAGCATCATCATCACCATCATCATCATCATCATCACCATCATCATCATCATCATCATCAGCATCATCAGCATCATCATCATCATCATCATCATCATCATAATCATCATCATCATCACCATCATCATCATCATCATCATCATCATCATCATCATCATCATCATCATCATCATCATTTGTTTCATCGTCTTTGGAACGCCTGGGGCGGTAACGGCAGTCAGTGACGCGCCGCGCTCCCCACCCACCCCGCACGCACGCACACACACACACAGACACACACACACACACACACGCGCAAACACAGCATGAAAGAAAAGCTTCCTGAACGAACAGGGTCTTGAAGGACACGGGTCAAAGAGGCCTCTTTGGGCCAACCTTTCAAAATGAGCTTACCCTTGCTGTTGACGGTCCCAAAACTCCAAAGGAAGACAAACAAACGAATCAGAGAGGATGGATTCGCCGAAGACCTCAGGGCCCTTGTTCCTCCAGCACCGCCTGTGTCATGCCCAAGCACCCGGCGATGTGATTGTTTAAAGCATCGGAGGTCTCTTGGTTCGTTCGAGAATCGACAATCGACAGCCTCACCAACGAGCGCGTCCCTTGCTCTGGTATCCAA